AGAAAGAAAGAAAGAAAGAAAGAAAGAAAGAAAGAAAGAAAGAAAGAGAGAGAAAAAGAAAGTTGATTGAAAGAGTTGCATTCCTCCACCGTCTCTGCTTCAGCTCCTGCCTCCAGGTTCCTGCCTGCTTCTCTCGTTCCTGCCTTGGCTTCTCTCAAGGATGGACTGTGATCAGAATGTCTGTGTTGGCTGAATAAACCCTTTCCTCCCCAAGTTGCTTTCGGTCATGGTGTCTTTAGCACAGCGACAGAAAACCTGCAGTCAGTGCTTGCTAAGATTGTTGTTGGTGTTTTCAGCGTATATACTCAGGTGTGGGAAACGTTAAACACGCTGGTCATTAGCTTGGCCGTGGAAGTTACTTCGCAACACTCCTGTGTATCAGAACATCACTTTGCACATTTTAAGTTTGTTTAAAATTCCTTACTCAAGTATGTTGCCAAAAAACAAACAACCCACAACCCACTGTTTTAGTTCTGAGCAATGATGGCAGGTTCTTTGAAGAATCCCGAGGCCTCCCATAGTGAGACATCTTTCATAGGCAGCTCCTTCCCTGCAAATATACGCAGAACCAATACAACAATGACAACTCATTTACATCCTGGTCCCTTATTCTTGATGCTTTTTTTTTTTTTAACAATATATACTCTGAAGTCTGCTGGCATATTTTTAGTGACATTTTATTAAATGTACAGAATAATTTAAATGACTTTAATTTTGTGATACTATGTTATGATTCTTTTTTAAAAGAAGCGTTTTTATTGTTCTTTAAGAATTTATTTATTATTTATTTATTCTTTGTTTATGTTCCCTACTAATGTCTTCGTGTTTTCTTTGTACAAATCTTATATATTTCATGTTACATTTACGAGTGGGATTTAAAAATCTTTTTTGAAGCTGGACGTAAAGGCACTTGTGGGGCTTCTTCAGATTGTCCACAGTTATTAACTATGATTGTCTCATGCTGTGGGTTGGTGGGGGTTGCATGCTTTTTGCCAGCTGCAGATAGTTTGATTCTGGGGACTCTGAGGAGGGTATAAATGGGAGTGGCCTGAGAGGGCCTGCCGTGGCTGCTCCTGGTCCCTGCTGCTGTATTTGTTATTGCTGGTTTGCTAGTTGGCTGTATTGCTGCTTTTATGAAGACTGGACTTGCTCCAAGGGACCCAACGGCCCAGACCAACAGGAAGTAGTCTGAAGAGGTCTATGTCACCTTTTCCCTCTAACCTTCTTTCTTGCCTACCTGGTACTGGGGATTTGTAAGGGATTGGAGGGGAGAATGGTGGTAGGTATAAGAACCCAAATAAAATACACCTTAAAAAAATACACCTACACACTTGCCTTTAATCCCAGCATTTGTGGGGCAGAAACAGGCAGATTTCTGTGAGTTAGAGGCTAGCCAGGTCTACATAGTGATTTCCAGGACATCCAGGGCTACAAAGTGAGACCCTGTCACAAAAACAACAAACAAACAGAGAAAGGAAGAAAGAGAAGAAAACATGAAAACAACAAAAAAGAAAAAAAAATCTTTTTGGCTGCTTTTCTTCCCCATTAAAAGAGCCATATATATTTATTAATATAGTTTTTGGATTTTTTAAAAAAATCATCGAAACATGGCAATTGTAAGAATTTATGGGCTACATAAATTCCTTCCTTCCTTCCTTCCTTCCTTCCTTCCTTCCCTCCCTCCCTCCCTCCCCCCCTCCCTCCTTCCCCCCCTCCTTCCCCCCTCCCCCCCTTCCCTCCTTCCCTCCTTCTTCTTTGAGTCAGAGTCTACCAGAGCTGCAAAGTGAGCCCTGGTTGGTCTGGCCTCAAATTCACAGACCTCTGCAGGCCTCTGCCTCCAGAGTTCCGGGGTCACAGGGGCAGGCCACGATTCAAAACAATATTTCAATATATGTATACCACATGCAGCTGTAGATCAGGATAACTGTCATGTGATGGCTTTGTTTGTACTGGGCCCATTCAAATCCTATCCAAAGTTATTTTGAATCGCTAAGATAATTGTGTCTCATAGCTATCCTGCTGTGCTAAAGAACATTAGAAGGCATTTCTCTAATGCCAACCATATTCTACCCATTTTCCACCCTCTCTCCATCCTTATCTCCCCCCACCCCCCCACCCCGCCCCAGGCTCTGTTACCTACTGCTCTAGACTCTGCCTTTTAGCATTAGCTTTCTGGTTTCACCAGATGATTTTCACCCAAGTGATTTCTTCCTTTATATTCAAGTCTCTCTGGAATTCATTTTGAGGCATGAGATTCCCGTTGCTAAATATTTTTTTTTTAAATGGTCAAATGTTGAATAAGTGGTTTCTCATATCTCAACTTGAGCATTCCTTTTTATGAAGTGCTTTTTTTTGTTTGTTTGTTTGTTTTGTTTTTGAGACTGGGTCTTACTATGTAGCTCTGCATGGCCTGGAACTTGATATGTAGACCAGGCTAGCCTTAAAGTCCTTGAGAAGCACTTGCCTCTGCCTGGGATTAAAAGTGTGTACCATCATATCTGGCCCCTCTTTTGTTCAGTTTTATGAAAGTAAGGTTAGTGACTTTCACTTATTCCTATTGAAACTACATAATTTTGTTCCTAATTTTGCACTCTTTATAAACAGTTATATGGCTGCCCATACGGTAAAAGCAGAATAAGGTCATTATTCACACCACCCACGAATAACACCTTCCAGGTGGATCAAGAATGTAAACGTGAAAAGCGGGACCTAATGTATACACAGATGTAGAAAATGACTTTTTAACCAGGTACAAAAAATAGCGAAGATTGATTATTCATCCAGTTGTGTTTAAGTCTGAAT